ATCAACAAAATTATAAGTTTGACATCATCTACACTAGGGGAAACATCACCGAACTATCACAAGATGAAGCGCAACACACCCAAGCACCCGTGGCGTTTTCTCGATTCAATTAAGTCTGACCAGGCAATTGCTCCTTCCAATACACAAGCAGTCCAGGGAGTTAATTGAGAATTTATCTTCTTATCGTGCGCAGGCCAAGCGTCATTCATTGGGCCACGCACCTTTTCACTAAGTCTAGTGGCTCAAGGCGGCCCCGTCGGCATCCTTGGGGTGCGGCGGCGTCGCCCGGACCCCTAGCCGCTATTTTTTTGCGAGAGCCACTGACATCACATCCGCCTATCCAAGACGACCCTTAGTCCTTCCGGGCTTGCATTGCATTCACGAGGGAGCCATTGCATTCAACCACCACACAAGCCGCATCCAGGCATCTACCATTCGTTCAAGCAACCGGCCATCCGACCCACCAACCCATCCACATTCACAGCTTATGCGAAGTCCAAGTCCTTCCCTTAGCCAATTCTCCCACCCTAGTCCTCATCCGCGGGTCCAGCCCCGTCCAAAACCGTCCCAGGCTACTCACCTGCGCAAGACCACACAAGACAAATGACCAAGTACAATCCCCATTCGGGGTCAACACATCACCCCTTCCCACAATCCTAGGATTCCTTTGCCTTTGACGTTCCTTAGGTTGTCCTTCCCCATCCGTCAAGCAGACCATGCCTCCACCTTAGTCATGCAGTCGGGGAAGATGGTTGAGTCAAACTGACCTTGCTACAAAAACATCACTCCCTTTTTCTTTTCTCCAATGCCCACCACAGTTCTGGTATCTCGCCCTTCTTGGTGGCACAAGGGACCGGCAGCCCTCCCCTTGCCCTCGCTTTCCACCAAGTGAGGATCGAGTTCTTTTACCGTTCGTCCCCTGGCAATGTAACAGGCGAGGGTAGTAGTTAGTCACGTGTCACGGAGGTGGTGGAGGAAAAGGGAGAAGCAAAGGTCAAAGGGTTTGAGAGGACGGAAGAAGGGGGAGGGAGGGAGAGAGAGAGAGAGAGAGAGAGAGAGAGAGAGAGAGAGAGAGAGAGAGAGAGAGAGAGAGAAAGAGAGGAAGAGAGAGAGAGAGAGAGAGAGAAAGAAAGAGAGAGAGAGGGCGACGAAAGAAAACACGAAGTTCCACACCCTAATCGACCCCGCTCCTTGGCTCACCCTAATCGATCCTACCTCGAAGCCCCTTACATCCCCCTAAGACTTTCGGGTGGACGGGCGGGGACGGTGTAGAAGGAAGAAGGGCTGAGGATGGTCGGCTATGGTGGACGGGCGTGGGTGATGGAGGAGGAAGAGGGTCGGGGGTGGCCGGCTATGGCGGGCGGGTGTGGGTGATGGAGGAGGAGGAAGGGTTGGGGGTGGCCGACTATGGTGGACGGGTGTGGGTGATGGAGGAGGAAGAAGGGTTGAGGGTGGTTGGCTATGGTGGACGGGTGTGGGTGATGGAGGAAGAAGAAGGGTTGGAGGTGGTCGGCTATAGTGGACGGGTGTGGGTCATGGAGGAGGATGAAGGGTTAGAGGTGGTCGGCTATGGTGGACGGGTGTGGGTGACGGAGGAGGAAGAAGGGTTGGGGGTGATCGGCTATGGTGGATGGGTGTGGATGATGGAGGAGGAAGAAGGGTTGAGCGTGGTCGGCTATGGTGGACGGGTGTGGGTGATGGAGGAAGAAGAAGGGTTGGAGGTGGTCGGCTATGGTGGACGGGTGTGGGTGATGGAGGAGGATGAAGGGTTGGAGGTGGTCGGCTATGGTGGACAGGTGTGGGTGACGGAGGAGGAAGAGGGGTTGGAGGTGGTTAGTTAAACCACCAGTACTTGGGGCCGGCCTTAGCGTTAACGCTACGAAAATTTCGCGGCCTGCGTGCCGTGGATAAATCGAATCCACAGCCTGTGTCGCTTCGACCTCCGGCGTGTAGTGCCCAAGTACAGGTGGTTTAATTGTTAGTTGAAGAAGGAAGAAGTGTATCCACACTGATCTGTAGGATGAAGGGTTGGAGGTGGTTCCGGACGTCCCGCACCGATCCAAGTGCTAGGTGCCTTAGTCCTTTAACCCTCATCCTCTCGAAGAGGAACAGGTCGCGCTGAGACTTTTTCCCTCAAAGGGATAGAGCTCTTTGGGTTCGCAGTGCATGCAACCGTATCCCCCTCTTGCTGAGGCTCAAGACTAGAAGAAAAGAGAAATTCCATTTCAGAGCTCTTTCCAAATCCATTTCAAGTTGCCTAGGGTCCCCTGTTTATGCAGTGCAATTTTCAATACTGAATCCAATTTCGATGCCTAGCCTCATTCCCATGCTCAATCTCAGTCCAATGCTCAATGCAATATCTTTTCCGAGGTTGAGTCCAATATCTTTTCCAAGGTTAAGTCCAATATATTTTCCACTCTCAGCTCTTTCTAATCTTATCCCAAGCTCAGCTCAATGTCTCTTTCAAACTCAGCTCAATATCTCATCAATATCTTTTCCAAAGCTCAGCTCTTCCAATATCATGCATCTCAAGCAGCCATGCAAGGGGACCCCAATGCCAATTCCAAAGAATGACCCTTGTAAGGGGCAATTCCGAACAACCTGGTTAGGGTCGTTCTTTCCAATTCCAAGTCGAACAGCCTGGTTGGCCATTCTTATCCATTGCAATCGGACAGCCTGGTTAGGGCCATCCTTGTCCATTTCAATAGGACAGCCCGGTTAGGGCCATCCTTGTCCATTTCAATGTTAGCGCCCGAGGGGGTGGGCCTCGAGGACACGGATCCTATTCTTGTCTCAGTGGTTAGAAGGTGGCCATCATCTTGGGTTTTTACGCATGCTTTTGCCTTTTGTCTCATGTCAATCATCATTTTCATGTCCATACACACATCTGACTTAGCGTCTAGTGCTCGAATTGAGGCTCGTAACCCCAAGCAGCACTAGCCCACCCGACCGTTCGACTATAGCGAAGGGGGTGTGTGTCCTCACTGTTTTCTTTCTCTGACTTCTCCGGCCCTCTGCTGCTCTAGGCTTGTTTGCGACTGGTTGGATCAGGCTCCGAGGGAAGAGGATCCTTCGCGCCTCTTTACCCATAGGTCCCTTAACCTCACGTATTCGACCAATGTTCAATGCCTTGCTTTCCTCAACGAGCCAAATTTCATAACCTCTTTTCAAAATACAATCTTAGTTTTCCCAGGAGCCATAATACAACCGACCTGGCTAGTGTCACACCAATGTTTCCTCTCAGCCCTTGTTTTTGCAGAAACCTTTCAAGGTAGCCCGCGAAAAGAGGCGTCTTGAAAACTGTTTACTTGCTCATTCATGCTAAGTCTTGACTAGTCCTAGTCTCGTTTGCTTTTAGCAACCTTATCCTTACTTAGCCAAGCCCTACCACTTGAATGTTGCTAAAAAAAACTTTTGTCAGACACACTTCATGCCTAGTCTCTTTTGTTGCCACCAGTCCTTATCTCACTGTCTCAGCTAGTATGAAACATCTCAAAATAGCTTGCCTAAGGGGCAAGTGTTTTAGCATTGCGGAAAACCGATACCATGACCAACTCGCCTCTCCTCATCTTTCTTCTGACCCTGTCGGTCTAAGCGCTACGTTAACCTATTGATAAAACCACTGGTTGCATAATTGCTCAAGTTCCTCGCGCTTACTTTGTGGCGTTTTCTAAAAGGCACCGAACTCAGGTCCTCCTTCCCCCTCAAGTTTGACTACTCGCTCTGCCTCTTTCTCGCAGCAGGAACTGATGACTTCGCGAGGGTCTCCCCAAACCTTTCGTTTTTCCGCTCCTTGTCCTCGACCATTCCTTACCTTCTCAACTCCGTGTTCTCTTGTCGCATCTCTCACCTTGGTTCCCTTCTTACGGTTTTCCTCCTTCTCGCTGGTAAGGTATCGTCATGTTCCTTCTTGCCTTCCACTTTCTTTCTCTGGACCTATTCTCTTTTCTTGCACCATCGTCCTCAAACCAAGTGTTTCCTCCTCTTTCCCTTTTCAAGTGGCGGTCTCATCCTATCTAGGACTTCTCCTCCCCTTCCGGTTACATCTGGTCCAGAATGATGGCCCATAACCAACCTCTTTTCTCGTTAGGTTATCTAGTTGCTCCTACCGTTCCTTCCTTCCTTCAAGATGGGGTTCGTCCCATGTCGGTCCATGCGGGTCCTCAACAAGGGCTCGCCTGCTTCCTCCTTCTCCATTACCGAAAAGTCTAGGTTGTTTAACGTCGCTATAACACGTCTCATTCCCCCATGTGAATTCCAGTCAAACGTTTTCCGGTTAGGGCCCAGGATCTCACCCCTGAGGGTTCTAAGATACCGCCCTCTTATGATGTCAAGGTTAAGTTTAGGACAAAGTCTAGCGAAGTGTCCTATCATGGTGCAATATCGACACGATTCCTAGGAAGGATTCCTGCAACGGGTCCGACGCTCGGTTCTTGGAGCGAGATCTTCTTGGGGTACCAAGGCAGTTCGAGATACTCGGGTTTGCCCCACCCGGAGGATATCTCCTATCCTTTTTCTCTGGTTGTCTGCTCCTTCGTCTTGATCATGCAACTCCTTCGACCCCCTTTTTACTCCGTACCCAGTTGTTTCTAGGGCCTCCGACTTTTCGTAGTTTTGCTGCTGACTTTCTGTCCCGACACCCCTTTCTTGGTCGAGATAGATTGTCGGTTTCTCCCTCAAGTCCCACAGGTCACTATAGTCTTCGTTTGACAAGGATTGTGCCCCTGTCTGCTGACTCATTCCACAGTCTGCTCCTTGCTCCTTTATTTCCTTCGCGTTCCCTACCTCGGAGGGTCGCATCGCTCCCTTTTCTCCTGCATTTCCGCCTTTTCCCCAACCACCGGGCTTCCCAATTATGCGCTCTTGTTGCGTTTCACCCTGGCATTCATCATTATGCAACTCATTGTCACTCTCAGCCTCGATATCCCTTATCATTTTTTCAATTACACCAGCCTTGTAAGTTGCTACCATCTGTTTCACTTCCTTGAGTCTTCGTAGGGTATCCGCTACCTTCCTTTTCTTCACAAATCCCCCCACCGAGGTCTGTGACTCTTCCGTATTTCCGACCACGATTGGCCTCATTCCCCGAGACTTTGCAGGCTTCCTCCCGGTATGACTCCCTTTTTCCAAAGTCCACCTCACGTTGCCTTTGACCCCTTCGTTGTTGAACCGTCGGTTGGCATTTATGCTACCGTCTTGTTCCCCCGGATTCCGGCCATCCATGCTGCCTATCCGGTCACGTTTATTTCTCCGGCCCGTTCGGTTGCTTGCGACGTCCATAACGTATCAGACGTGCATGCCATACAATCGAAGGAAGGAGAACTTGCTTTAGACTCTACCTCTCACAGTTTTCCTATCGCTATCAGTTCCGAAAATGTTCTCGTCTTCAAATCAACGTAATCCTTGTCCTCTCGCTTCCTTGTGCACTTTAGGGTTCTCCCTACCCTATATGTTTTCTCGCCCTCTACCTGTCCTACTATTTTGATGGTCTCTATTACCAATGTCACAAGCAGGACAAACAAGCAGAACCGCTTATTCCCCCATTTCGGACACCCATGCTTTGCTCGATTCCGGTTGCCCGCTGGTTGATACCTTCTCTCGACTTCCTAGGGATTTTTCATCACGCTTGGCTCCTAAAAAGTTACGAAACCCTTCCGGCCCCTCGAATTTCGCCGAGGCGTCATCCTGGTGGTTCTTGCAACAAAAACGCACACGCGAGGCGCCCCCTTTCTATATTTAGTGAGTCACTTATATCTGGTCCGGCTATTCGCCCTGGTCTCGCTCTCGCCCCCTCGATTGATCCCAAACAATGTCAGCTACCGGCTCTGCTTCTACTGCAGCTATGTCCAAATTATTCAGGAGGATGACGACACGCCGCATCCCTCCTGGCGAGTTCTAGTTTATGCGCTCTCCCTGAGGTCCGAAAATCTTACCTTTAAGGGACCTGCTGCATCTTTGCCTCATAATATCATGGTTGAGTCTTGGGCAGGTCCGTACGAAATGCCCGACCATTGTGCAATACTTGCATTGCTCATTGGCCGGATCCCTCCTGCCAAATCCCAGGTTTGCTACAGCTGCCGGAACTACGGCCTCTAGGGGCGGGAGGGCGGGTCGGGACACCTGTGCCTGCATTACTAATAGCGCGTTTTCCACTCTTTCTATCTTGCTGTCAACCTCGTGTATTCGTTCGTGCAGGCTCTCTATCCCCTTCTTGACCTTATCCCCCGTCTTCCCAGTCAAATCTATAACCTCCCCTTCCTTGAGCAGGGCTAGCGTATCGGTCACCACTGTCTTTTCTGCGAGGTCTGTTACGGTGCTGAAGTCCACATCCCTAGTGTACTCGAACTTGCTAGTCTGCTGGTAGGCTGACAGAATCTTATCTTTGTCGAATTCGGAGAACTGCCTGAGGAAATACTTATTACCCGGTCTGTTACCCCGGGAATTCGTAGCGCGACTAAAGTAAAGGCCCTTAGGAAGTCGTTGTAAGTCGCATAGTTCTTCCTTTGGACTGCCGCCAATTCGGCTTCTGTTGCCATCTTCTCCGCCTTTAGGCACTTCCTCATCATCTCATTCCTGGTTTCCTTCCAAGATCCACTAGTGGCGATAATGGCCATAATGTCTCTACCCAGACTCAATGACACATGCTGCCCCAAATGGTCCATCTTCTCTTCCTCACTCCATTTCAACAAGGCTGCCAGGTTCTCATAGTCTATCAGGAACTCTGTAATGTTCACCCCATCAAAAGTGAGTTTCTTCTTGGCATCGGCCAGATACCCCTGATTCTTATTCAGAGCCCGGGTGAGGGTACCTACTATTTTCTTAAGACCTCCCTCAGAGCTACCTGCTTCGCCAGCCGGACTGGTCCCTTCTCCTTCCTTGCTATCCCCCCGCTTTTCCCCTGTCTTTGGCGTACCCTCAAGGTCGAACCATCCTAACACCCTTTCTTTAAGACTCCAAAGTCCGTCACAACCCTTTGCTACTTTTGGTGTGGCGGGCAGGCGACTAGCCCCGCTGTCCATAGCAGGTGGGGTCGTAGCCTTCTCCGCCTCCACGGTCGGAGCGTCCTCCTTCTCCTTTCGTTTCTTGCTGGGCGTTCCCTTATGGCTGTTATCCTTCCCTCTGTGCGTGATTTCGCCCTGGCTGGTCCTGCGTCCTTCACGTGACCCTGCGCCCTGGGGGTCCTCCTCATCCTCGGCCATCATCTGCTCGATAAGCCTTGCCTTAAATTCTGCAGTCTGCTTTTCTATCTCTGCCAATTTACGACTGGCATCCGAGACTGTCTTTTTAGGGGTGGCTCGAGCTTTCTCTAGTTGAGAGGTCCTTTCCGTCTTCTCGGGTTCCTTCCAGTTTGGCTGACTCTCGATCCCTCGCTGATCCCTCGTTTCGTTCCCCATCCCCATTCGTGCCCTGATTCCCGCCGCTCTGCTGGTCATCGATCCCTTCCTCAATCGCCATTTCTTTACCTAGCCTGCACATGGGAAAATGTTTTTTGCAAAAAATGGCTGGTTGTTCATAACTGCCCTAGTCCCGACCCTAAAACCCGCCTATTCCCATGTTTTTTTTACGTCTTACATTAATCGGTCCGACTCTCCTGACTTTTCTTTCCCAGGGCGTCCTTTAGGTTTTCTCCCGTCGGGGGACTTGCCGCCGCTGCTTGGCATTTTATTACTGCCGCGCTTTGGCTCTTAGGGCGGTGTTTGAGCCCAGTGGCCTCCTCTTATCGAGGATGGCCCTTTTGGCTTTTCGACCTCCAAATGCCCCTGAGTTTTCTGGTGCGGGTGGTCTTCCTAGTTCCTCCTTGCCGCGCTATCGGGTCGGAAGGAACTCCAACCACTGCCCCCCCCTTTTTTGGTGATAGCTGCCTTCTTATCTTAGTACCCGTCCCTTATTTCCCTATCTTTTCCCGACGCGTTTTTCTCATGCTGGTCCCTCAGGCCTGCCTTGCTCGTCCGGTCCTTCGAACAGGTCAGCCACCCCCGCAAGGTAGTTTTTTCCCATCTCTATTTCCCTGACGATTATCGGCTCAAATTCCTCAAATGCTAAGCGAGGCAAATCGAATATCATGATTTCAATGAGGTCAAGCAACTCCCAGGCCTGATTTCCCCAGAACGGCCCATGCTTGACCGACACGTCGTAAAACATTCCCGTCGTTTGTGGACGGAAGTGGTGGATCCAAACCAGGGTCGAATCCACTAGGTCCCTAGCTCTCTTGAGGCTACCGAATACCAAGTCCACCATGAAACGAGGTACTCGACACCTCAACCCAGTCATTGGGGCCTTAAATTCTCGCCAGCCTTCGACCTCCACCCAAGTTCTTAATCCCACGTTTCTTCTCCCCTGCACTTCCTGGCCCACCCTGTTCAACATCCTAGTAGCCCTCTGGAAGATTGGTAGCAACCCGTGACCTAGTGTCAATTCCGTTCCTAGCATGTACCATCCAAGTTCCGGCAGGTATACGGTCCCTGTCACCCTAAGATCGGTGTACAGATCGTCTCCCGGTCCCCTGTTAATCCTCATACCATCCCACAAACATTCCACCATCATGAACGCCTGACCTCTTCCCAGGGTCACGTCCCTCCATTCGATGTCCAGTCCTTGGATCATGTCGCTTGCTGGGAGCGATACCTCCCATCCGCCTTCACTTTCCGTGGGTGGCCGCGGGTGTGTGGACCATCGCAACATCCGGGCGTGTCTTATCACCATTTTTGACTTAGTAGTCCCCCGCACAGTTTAAACAGCAAGCAGTTTTACTTATTTCATTTAATCTTCAGCTCCCGCCCGAACACTCCCCGGTCTCTAGCTTGAACCTTCCTTTTCTTTCCTTGACCTCTTTTATTGGCTCGTCCCTACGTCCATCGGCTCATACAATCGGTACAGGTCATCCACGTACACCATCCCTTGACTTATTTCCCGTCGGACGACACCCCACAGGACCTCACTTCCCACGACCGGAGCCCTCGGCCTGGTGCTAAACATAGCACGCAGGATGCGCAACACCTCATACTTCCGCTCTCCACTGAATGGGCCCATTTCTAGGAAGGCCCGATAGTATTCTCGATGTACCATCGCATCTTCATATGTCAGGCTTGCGAGGTCGGCTACCGCTTGTCTGACAAGTCCCAGACCGCCCAGCCTTTCCAGCAGGAAGGGCGGCAGCCTCATTCGTACATTTTCACTAGGCAATTCAAAACTGCTGACCATGGCTACCCTAAGGTCCGTTGTTACATCGTCAACCCCCGGATCTGCGAATTCAAATCCCGCTCGCCACACTAACTGCCACCCCCCTTCAAACATGCTCAACGGGTCTTCCCCAGATGCCAGCCGGACTCCGAACTCCCTCCACCCATTTTCCGACACATACAGTCGTCCTTCTGCACGCACATGGCCCCGCGGGTCCGGGTTCCACTCCCCATTCTCGTCCGTACGCCACAACTTTCGTCACCAAGTAAACCATGTTTTCCGCAAGTTCGACTCCGACCCAATCCGCCACCTGGTGCCAGCCTCCACTCGCCGCTGGCAAACTAACCTCTATCCCGCCCAGTACTTCCCCACGCGGATCAATGCCCAAGGGGCGTTCCTCGAGGAACGTCCTTCTTCGCGCCATCACTCACTCGCCTTTGATCTCCTGGCTCACAATCCGCCATGAACCCTACAATGGCCAGTCATCCCATTCCCTTATCTTAGCAATTTTTCCCATATTTGCCTGGCCCTACGACTTTCCTGCGCTTAGTCGAACCACAATACTTCGAACAGTTTGAACACATTATCCACATAGCAAGGTGTTGCTGCCACCTCACGGCGGATTATGGCCTCCCTAGTTTCCGGAGCCACCTCCTGCCGGTCATTCCTTTCGATATCCAAAATGATAAGGACCTCCCGGGCTCTATCGCCATGGAAGGACCCGTATTTCAAGGACGTCCTATAGAACTCCTCTGTCAGCCGTGCGCAGTTCACGTGTATTCGCTCCATCGTGTCGGCTACCTCTGTTACGTGATCAAAACCCCCAAACCAGTCCGCCACGAACTCGGGCATCCAGGTCTTGATTCGGGCGCCAGGCGGTTTAAATTCCTTCCATCCTCCCATCACGACTCTACTGCTGACCATATCCCAACCTTTGTTAGCAAACCTTTCCCCCGCCTGTCGAACCCTTGCCTCAGCGTCCCCTAAAAGCCACATCGGGTTCTGTCCTGCCGCGAGCGTTGTGCAGAACAGGTGCCAACCTTGTTCAGAGAGGACAATCGTCCCGACTGATTCCACCCTTCCTTCCGCAATCTCTTCCCATCCTTCCTCTTCCCTCAACGGGTTCCAAACACGCTCTATCCATAGGTACGATAGCTCCGGCACAATCTCATACCCCCGCCAATCACATGTGGTCCCCTTCCATTCATTGCTCGACGGTATTGACATCTCTACTCCCCTTCCGACTCGTCTTGGTTCCCATGTGCAGTCCCATAGTTCGAGTTCCCGGGCCATCGCTCCCTACCTGCACAAAGTCGACAACCCGTTTTCCCCAGGTAAGCCCCCCCCTCAAAAGTCCCAGTCCTCTATCTCATCCCCGTCCTCCTCATCATGGGGGGAGGCTGGAGTGGCCTTGCCCCTGCTTCAGCGCCACACTCTAGGGTCTATAGGGAGGGTGCACAAAGGGGCATCCCCCACCTACATTGCAGATTCGAAAACTCCTCTCTTGTCGTGGTACTCGATGACCCTTATCTGCGGGGGGTTCCGTTGTCGGGATAGAAACCCCTGTGAGGGTTTCTGCCCGAGTTTTTCAAGGTTAGACGTTGTTCGACTCTTTTCGCTGGATTTGAGAAACATGATGAGATTGACGTCTTTCACCCCTTCCAAGAAGGTTTACCCCGCCGCCACGTTTCGGTAAACCATCTGCCAATACACCGGACTAGGAACAAAGACTTCGTCCGCGCTGAGGAGGTTTAACACCTCAGCTAATTCTTCCGTCAAACGGCCTTGCTTCCACCGACAGTCTAAAGAAGTCTTGTCTAAAACATTGGTACAGCCTCAGGTGTGTCATCGATTGGCATATATGTTCCAGCCTATCCCTGGTCCCAAAGATTGCATCTACCAGAAATGGGGGTAGCACGCACCTCATTGTCCTAAGAGGACGTCTCATATTTTCCCGGTCCCCGAGTTCCACTCGCACCTCCATCCTTTCCATCTCCATTTCTGCCTGCTGACATGCTGCCCATACCACTTCCCGTTCCGCTTGCATAAACAGCTGATCCGGTGTCGTGCCCAATACTAGTCCCACTACCATTGCATTTTCCAATTCCTGTGATAGGTAGACCCATCCTCGAGCTTCCACTGTTCCCCGGAATTCTAGGTCCATCAAGCTAGGTGAAAGTCTCGTCAGGCTGACCTTAGTCCAAATTGTGTCTATCCAGAGGAACGCGTCCTTCTCGTCCAGCATCACAGTTTCATAGGCCGGTTCTAGGTCGTTCCTCGTCCCTTCTTCCGGGAGAACAATAGATACCCCATCCCTTACCTCTATAGGCATTTCCGGACCACTAGAGTAGACAGGAGGCGACAACCATCGTGCCATCTTGTTTTCCCGGCGCTTGTCCTGTTTCCACATGAGAGCCCACACGGCCCCTCATGGTCAGATGGTTTTCTTTCCTTTTCTAGATGAGAGTTGTTTTCAGACCCCTCATCCGGGTCTCCCTAACTTCTCTTATCCATTTTCGAGGTGCCATTGCCCTACCATACCCCCAATCGATCACCAGTGGCCCGCATTCCTTTTTTTTAGTTCCACTTTCTTACGACTCCTATCCAGCCTCTTCCTCATGTTCTCTCACTCGTGCAGACTTAGACAGGGGTTGAGAATAGACTAGAAACCTAGTTCCCCTTCCAACACTCATCAGGCAGCTTCACAGGGAGAGGTACAAAAAGAAAAACCAAGCCGTCATCGCACACAGGCCGGTCATCTCCTCACCGACCTTTTTCCCAAAGTGGTCTCTCCACTGTTACTATTGGCAGGGTTTCATCCCATACCTCAAGCACAACTCAACCGTCGCGAGCGCGGTACCCAAACTCCAGTGGAGGGTCGCCCTCACCTTCTTGCCCAGAATACCCCATCCCGACTTGCCGCTCGTGTGCCCACCGTTAATCTCGGGAATCACCCCTCACATCTCGGTAGGGCCATTGGAGCCAGTCGTCCAGGCATTCACTTCCATCGGTCCGATAAGGAACAGCCTTTCCCAAACCAGGCTACGAGAAGCTACTGATCGCCTCCCAGGCTCCGTCTTTGCCCCCATGCAGTGGTGCTCCCTCCGCCAGTCCACAGGCTAGGCCCCGCCTGAGGAACGTYTCACACCCCSCCCGASAGATCAATCGAGCCGAGGCCCGTCACCGCGCGGACGAGAATGCTAATAAGCACTCGACGTGACAAACTCCCGTTAGACAGCTCGGTGGCCTGACCCCCGCATACGAACAAACGGCAGTCTGCAAAGAGAACGATGTTTGGCAACCCGCAGTGGCCGGTGCAGACCCCACCTTTCCTTCCAAATGGCAGGACGCTCAATATCCCCATCAAGCAAGCACAAGCCCCAAGTGGGACACACATAACACAAGTGCCTTTCCCTTGGTGCACCCAGCGCTTCCTACCCATTGCTCACCGATTTTCTCTCAGGACAGTGTGTGCCACTCACCCTTAACTTCCATGCATAGTGCCTGGTTCCTTCTCGTGAGCATCTTTAGGGGTGAGCTAGTTTTTCTTGGAGTCTAGCAACTCCCTTCATTCCCTTATCTTCGCTCGTGTGTCTGTTCATAGGGCGGGATTGTTCCTTCTCGATTACCATTTGTGTTCATATGAGGTTCCTTCAAGCATTTAAGTGCGGTGCACGAAGCCCGCTGGGCTCTGAAGAAAAGGAAAGAGAGCACCCGTGTCGGTCGGATCACTCCGCCGCGGGATTTTCATCGGAACCCGGACTAGCCCGGAATCGCGATCCCCTGCCAGGTAACCGGAGCCCTTCTTTCACACGAAGAGGAAGGGTCGACCTGCGGCTTGCCCAAGGCTTCCCCGGCCTGACGAACATCAGCCCGAAGGAAGGAGGACTAGAGTCATCTCCAGGGGAGATGGCTGAGTGTGTGTGCAAACATGCATGTTATTCCTCCAGGCCTGGCCTTGCCATGCGCCCAGCCGCCCTCAAAACTGATTCACTCAAAGGATAGAGCATACACAACTCCTCATTCCTTGTCTTTAGTTATGTACACGGTCATGCGTCGGGCGCCCCCCTCGAGATCGTCAGGGTCAATTTAACCCATACCCGGCACCTCCACCATTTTTGTAGGTGTCGTACCCTGAAGGACTTTCGAGCCTCGGTCGTCCCCACTACGGGTCCCACTTGGCTCGACCCGCCCACGCTCAAGCCCTCGGCGCGGGTCGTTCGTCCCAGGGGCACCCCCACCTAGTGCTATGAGATGGATGGGCATGGAACTTGTGCGAGAGGGCTTTACATTGGGGGATGTAGCTCCGCTCTCGCGTCAAGATAGTAGCTCTTTAGGCACTCGTGGCATTTTCTTGATTCATTTAGGTCTGACCAGGCAATTGCTCCTTCCAATACGCAGGCAGTCCAGGGAGTTCATTGAAGTCTCATCTT